AAGAGTGATTAATATTAATGTCATGAATGACCCAAACAGAAATCAAGCACACCACAAAAGATGACATCACGTAAAGTTCATTTCCTTATCTACTTTACAATTCTGCTTTGAAATATTTTTAAAGTCATTTAATTTAAAAAAAAATTCTGAATTTAAAAAAAAATCTATGTTCTGTTTTTCTAAATACATAACATTATTACTATTTTCCTTAGAATCTTATTCCTTAACATTATCATCAAAGCAAAACTTCTGATTTTAATGCCATATATTTCAATAGAAATGAATTTTACTGAAATCCAATAATAAGGTAAGTATTTTAAGACAAATTTCACATTCAGAAATATATTGTAAAACAGCAGACATTAAATACTGGATAACTTAAGTTGGCACTAATAGTTGTATTTATGCTTTTTTAATTTAGAAGAGCATATTCATGCACATCACAAGTCAATGCTGAATGTTTACTATGTAGAAAGGCACAATCCACTTCATATGACACTTGCCTTTTTCCCCATTGTTAGGTGGGCTTGGAGTTTCTCCCTCATTGTCTTTGTAACATTGAAAACAGACAAGAGCGATTACTTCTTAATGTCATTAACAACCCAAATAAAAGTGAAGCACACCACAAAAGATGACATCACACACTAGGAAGCAAATCCATGCACTAAACAGGACACCTCACTGATGAACACAAGAGTAAAGCATGTCCTTCCTATCCTATAAGAAAAGTAATAAAAATACAGATAAAATATGGAATAATGAGTCATGTTATAAAGTCAGGAGGATTATAGCTATGGTTTTATGCTAATTTAAGAATTGGTGTAATTCACTAACTTAATTTTCAAATGAACTAGTAGTTTATTATATATAGGAATGAGCAATATGAAAACATTAACTGCAAAGCTAAATTAAAATAAAGGTCATTCTTACAGTATTCATACGAATGTTATCCCTATAGCATTTCAGGAAAATGAAAGAGGTGTGACTTTCTAGCAGTCCGTATACTAGAAATTCGTAACAGAGATAGTTATGCATTTCCATAACCATGCATCTAAACTTGCCTTTGCTTTCATTATCAGAAGTACTCTGCTGATTTTTCTCATCTGTACGACATTAAAAACAGTTATGATTAATTAGCAACTGCAGCTTACGAAGTCTTCTGTCTTAAACTACACACACCGTTAAAAAATGTATCCATGAGAATATGTTGCATGCACAACTTACATAATGGCACTGCTTGCACAGTGTTAAAGGACAGAATAAAAGAAACATAAAATACCCTCTACTATCCATGAATAAAAAATGATGATGAGTAAAAAATGATAAAATTAGATCTAAAGATATTCTGCATTGTTCAAAGAAATTAGAAATAAGTTTTTTTTAAACAATTCTTAGGTATGATTAGGATTCAACTCTTTGAGTTTCAAATTAAAATAGTAAATATTAGATAAAAGAAGTATATAAAAGTATTTACTGATTATATGATATTTTAAGTTTTATCATTTCAGAAAAATTCTGACAAAGTGGAAAAATTATGATATCTAAGTATAACAGGGACTTAAAAAAAACAAAATGAAGTTCTCTCCATAACCATGGAGAAGGAGGACTCTTAGGAAAGAGATTATAATGATCAATAAACATTAAAGCAATATTGAGCTGAGATGAAGAAAAGGTACCTACAGTTAATTTTAATTATTTTAGAGGGGAAATTTTATGGATAAAATTATGATAGTCTCTAAAACTTTTAATAATTAAAACGTGGAGTCTGTATTCTACCCTACATTCACTTGTAATTTGCCTCCACAAAATCAAAATTCTTCAAAGAGGAGGCGAAGACTTCAATGTACCTCTGCTCAGTGTAAACACAAGGTAAAATGTAGCATTTCAGTAGGTACTCAATTGACATTTTTGAATAAATAAATGAACTGAATGTAAAGCTGGGGTAAAAGATAAGTGCAAATCATGGTCAGAAGCACGGCCTATAATTTTAGTTTGATTAAACATTAGGATAATGTTCAAATGGGTGAATTAAGTATTCAGTTAAATTACCTAGATAGCTTATATAATATCTCTCCATTTAAAATTAGGTAATTTACTTTAAAATTAGTACTGGGAAACAGTCTGTTCTTTCTTGTACACTTATGAATTTAGAAATGCAAAGTGAGACTTCTAAAACACCCAGTCATTTAGTTAGACACACAGACAGACCTGCCTTGACCTCGACTCCCTGCTCCTCTCCCCCCTGCTCTTCCTCTTGCCCAGTTTCTTCATTAACTTCTGCTTTTGTAAAAGTAAAAAAAAAAAAGACCAGATATATATATTTGTTACTCTTAAGTGAAACAAAACATTTCAAATTATTCATGATATATTAGTGATTATTAAAAGACTAAGATTATTTTAAACAAGTTTCTGACATGTTATGTAAGCAAATAAGTATACCTGTAATAAATGATCAATCTCCTTTTATAATCACTTTGATTTGTAAAAGAGAAATTGTGGCCCCTAAAATATTAGCAATGGTGATAACTATGTAAAAATTTGTCTATTGACTTGAAGCATTCTTATAAAAATAAAATTATATAACTTTTCTTCTAGAGAAAAAATATGAGATTATAAACTCTTATTTTTACAAAATGCCACTATATCAAAGTTAGGGGAAAGTAAAAATATATTAGTAATGCCTTACAGTTGTTTATTACACTGTACTTTCATTATATTGTTTCTATTTTTTCTGGTTCTCAGACAAAGGGATGATTAATGCTATACCACCATCAAGATGAATATATATATGGTTTTAAATTAATTTCATTAATAGACTGAAATATCACAACCAAAATAAAAAAAATTAAATTAAGACTTGCTAATTCTTTAGGCGCTGAACAGGATTACAAAATAAAAATGTCATTACTTTTATTCCAAAAGAATGCAATTAAATGATAACTTCTTATAACTTTTTAGAGAGAATCCAAACATAATTTGATTTAGACTATCAGTTGATACTCTATTTTCAGTTATGTCCCTTTTACTTCAGTTAGGAGTCGAAGATCTAAAGAGATATATATCTCCTTTAAAGCTAACGAAAATCACACAATCATGTATCTACTGGTCTTTATATCAACATTTATAAAAACACTGTTAAAACCATTCATACTTTTAAGCAAAATAAACCACACAAAAACCCATTTATTTGAAACTGGAAAGAATAAGGGAGGCTTTGGCTTTCCTCTCTTATTTATAAAAATGGAAAAGCCACAATCAGGGACATTAAAGGAAAACTGTGGTTTTAAAAAATGATATAGGGCAGAAAGCAGATAATAAATAGAATGTTTGCTGAGAAGCCCATTAGAAATTTCCTATGCCCTGACCAGGTAGCTCAGTTGGTTAGGGCATCATTCCAGTACGTCAAGGGGGTGGGTTCGATCCCCAGTCAGGGCACATATAAGAATCAACCAATGAACGCATGGAAGTGGAACAGCAAAGCACTCTTCCCTGTTTATTTCCTTCCTTCCTTCCTTTCTTCCTTCCCTCCTTTCCTCCCTCTTTCCTTCCTTTCTTCCCTTTTCTTCTTCTCTCTCTAAAATCAATAAATAAATTAAAAAATTTTTTTTAAACTTCCTCAATCCTGATTTGCAGTATCAGCTCCATGTCAGTTTTCTGGTATACTGTATTTATTATTAAAAAGAATGTAGCTATTCATATTTTAATATTTGATTGCTATAAAATATATTAAATTTACAAAAAAAGTCACATGAACTATGTTTCTGGCTTCATATGTCATCAAATAGCATCAAAATTCTATCTTGGAATGACCAAAATTCTATACATATTATAGAACTTTCCTTGTGGAAAGTACTTTTAAAACGATATACCCCATTCTTATGCAAATAATTGAGAAGTATAGAAATGCTGCTGAAATCTTTTATCAGGCTGCATAACAGACCATTTAGTCACAAAAGCAGTGAGTTGTTAAAAATTATGGCACAAAGCAAACACAAATAAACACAAAATGAAAGCTGATAAGTCATCCAACTACAACAAGAACAAGTCATATAGGGCAATAAAAGTATTGCTGCCCAAAGGCAATGCAGTTGAGAATTTGTTACAAGTAGGTTATGGAATCTGAATCTGAATATAAGTATGTAGAGAATAACAAGATTATTGTAATGGTGCGTTATACACTATTTCAAGTAGTTGTTCAGTAAGTTGTTCAGTTTTTATATAAACATTTCATGCATTCATTCAACAAATATTGATTGAGGGACTACAATGTGCCAGGCATTATTCTATGTGCTGGAGATGATTCAGTAAATAAAACCATTAATTCTTTAAAGTTACAAAGTCATTTTCAGAATTGTATAATTAGCAGAGAAATGTTTGATTGTCCTAGTAAATGCATGACACGTCATTTATCATGACTCACTATATTCTCTTGAGTCATAATGTACTGTGACAATAAACCTGCAGATATTTAACTTGGCTATCCTGTAAACAGTCTTCCTACAACATGAAAAATGATGGAAGAAATGCAAACCACAAACATTATCTAATTCAACAAAGTCCTCTTCTAGAAAGCCAAATTTAATAATTATAAGATCACCATCAATACAGAATGAAATGAGGATGAGAACTACAACTAGACTAGGTGTACATCCTCAATGACATAAACACAGGCTGCAATTGATACCTTTGGTTGAAGTCTTGCACAAAACAGAATTCTGCTTAAAAGGCAAATTACATTTTTTAAAAAGAGGAAATTTTATCTTGCCGTTTAAACGAAGTTAAACTCTTTGCAGTCTTCCTTGACTGGATCAAAAAATTTAACTCCTGGTCATCATTTCTACATAAAATCCAAATACTTTACCAGAAATCACGTAACAAGGTAATTTTACATAAAGGTCTATACAACGGAAGGACATCAATTGCAGTTGGGTTTATTTTTTGCTTACAAAGCCCCCCAGAAAGGCTGTCAGCACAAAACAAACCCTCCTTTATGTACAGACCTTCACAAGGTTCTATCTCCTTGACTCCATTGTCTAGGAAAAACAAAATAAAAAACAAAACAAAGAAGGGAACCAAAGCACAGGGGTTAAAAACAACAGAAATTTCCAGAGGTACAGAATGTATCATCAATTAAAGAAAAGGAAAATGGTGACTTAATTTTTTTTTTTTTTGTACAGTGCATCCAGTTACCATATAAAGGGACCATTTAAAAAATAACAATAGAAATTATTATATTCTATCTTTCCCATGCTTTTAGAGGTCCTTTAACCAAGAATTTATAGATGGGGGGTGGGGGGTATGTTTACCTGTGTGTGAGCAAGTAATGCCTCTTAGGCAAAAATTTGAAAGTATTAAAAAATACGTGTTAAAAATATCAGTACAACATGCATCTGTCTTTGCATATTCATGATTACCTTTTTCTGGTACTCCAGTTTTGAGAAGGATCACCATTGTTGTGCATCAGCTAACCAGTCCTTTGCAGTATGTGAAAATTGATTTGGCTAGTTACTAATAAACTTTATGTAACTATCAACAATTACATAAACTTAGCTGTAGCAAAGCTATATCATCTAACTGCTTGTTAAGCAAGAGCATTACATTTACTTCTTAAAATGCATTAATTCAAATTTGTAAAATGCGCCAGAGCGGTAATAGGTTATTTTATCTGCCAATAGTACACATTTTAAATGAAAAATACGTAATATGTAATTACTAGCAAATGCAGCTAAGGCATTCAATTAACCAAAGAAGAAAACTAAGGAAGGCAGAACAAAAAGAATCTTGATTCACCTTAGCTTCCATGTGCATTTCCTACATGACACAATTAGAAATAAAACTTACTTCTCTCCAGGGTTCCCTTTGGTGGAAGTTGTGGAAGTTGCCGGACCCTTCGTCCCGCCACTGGGGTGCTTGATGGGCTGGTATGGACAGACCCAGTGCGAGGATGAGACCTACGAAATACACATTAATGTTCACTTTCAATATAATGAGTTAAATACTTTTAATACATTTGCTTCACATGATAGCTGTATAAATGCAATTTAAAAAGAGGTTTAGCTGCTGATAAAAGGTTAGGAAAGTAAGACACAATATGGATATTTGAATGATTATCTGAACAGCCAAAGATGTTTAAACTTTTGTGTTATATGCGTACATACACAGATACATGCACGGAGAATCCTACAGTAAAAGCCATGGGATTATTCATGTAAATTCATACAAAAGTAAGAGGAGAATTCTGCAGCTCAAAAAAATAAAAGGTAATGTCGGACATTTCTTTCTACCAGATTTCAAACTCTTCACTCTAACCTTGATCCAAAGAGCTTGTTACTCAGGCTTATAATAGATAACACTTCATTAGAAAATATCTGATGAAACGACAAATAAAACCCTGCACAATTCAACATTCAGCTAAAGAAGGTGATGGGTAATACATGATATTAGTATTGATAGAAAGAAACTAAAAAATCTAGTTTTGTCACTACGATGACTATTCCAACAGTGATGTCTAATGAAGACAAACAATTTCTCATTGTGTAGGAGAACATGGCAGTCATGAGGTGCGTTATGTGGGGATTTACCCAGGACTACTGATAAATGAGAAATCACAAAACAAATGCAGTCAGGACAGTTAAACGTTTTACAATGGTAGCCACACACTATTATATCCGCTGAATATAAATAGTGTGCTTACACTGAAAAGGTTAGTATTGACTGTTATTAGTGATCAGCCAAGGATGATAGAAGAGACCAGTTAGCTGCTGGGAAAATAAAATGGTGTGCTGGTGGGGCAAAGGGGGAGTTAGTCTGATGGATTGATCTTTCACCTCGATAAGGCAGGTGAAGGAGGGGCAGATCTTCCGGTCATTAATGAAGGCATCGACCTCATGAGGTTTGTGTCGGGTCGCTCAGTGGATCTGGAGCGGGCGGTGGTCCGCTCTAGGACGGGCCGCTGTTCTGTTGATCTGGATCTGTGATAGGGCTGTCTATCTGCTGCTTCACAATCCCTGAAACGTTAGTCAAAAAGCAGCTCAGTCGATCTTTAGTGCCTTTCTGCTATTTGGTTATGATGCATCAAATTGATTTTGAAAAAAAAAAAGTAATTGTTTAAAATCACTGCGTATGTAAGAAAAAAAAATTCTCTTCCCCAACATATTCTGAGCCAATTCTCACTAAACTTTTTAAGATTTCCGAAGGAACCCAAATCTGCCTTAAAGAGCAATTCCCAGTGAAGATAAAGAGGAGTCGGTCAGTTATGTTCAAAGACAAACAAAACTGCCTGCTTTGCGAAGTGAATTCCCTTTGGAATATGTGAAATATGGAAAGTATTCTACTTTAAAAGAATTCAATAAATTTTTCTAACATTTTCAAAAGAGTGGGGGAAAACCATATAAGCACTATTCTCAGTAAACCCCTAAGGCTGTTTATTACACCAAATAAGATATGAAAATATTTTCAACACAATCACTGTGTACTGATACACCTGAACATTCAAATAGAAGGATCCAGATGTTCTGAGAAAACAGAGCTACTTTGCAGTCTGTAGCCATATTTAACCACGGTCTATAAGAAAAACCACTGGATAGAAAACTGGTGAATCAGTCAATCTCTGTCATCTATCTCAGTGCGATTCAGTGATGCCAACCCATACAATTCAGAATGGGTATGAACTGACTGAAATAATAATGGCTCTGAAACCATGTGATCACTTTGACCACAAATAAATCAACATCAAGTCCTGATCCTGGCTGACAGGAATCTACCATTGTTGATTTCTATTTTTAGCCCTGGACTCTATCATAATGCTTTTATATCTAACATGTGGCCAATGAACGTTTTCTAATGCAAACCCCATTTTCAGTGAGCCAACCCTAAAAATACTAACTTTGACTCTAGGACTCTAAATAATACATAATCTAAAATACACTGCAAATCAAACTATTACCGCCCCATCTAGTTGTAACCACAGAAATGGTAATGCTTATATATTGTAAACTAGAAGCCCGATGCACGAAGATTCGTGCAAGAATGGGCGTTCCTTCCCCTGGCTGCCGGCACTGCCTTCGCTCTGGCCGGAGCTGCCTTCCTGCCTTCCCATGCTGCTCGGAGGCCCTGAGAGGGTGGAGTGGTGCAGAACGCCTGTGTCATTACCATGGCGACGACGCAAGCGTCCTGTCCCCCGACCACTGGGCACCTGCGTACGCAAATTAACCCACCAGCTTTGTTGGGTTAATTTGCATACTCACTCCTGATTGGCTGGTGGGTGGCACAAAGGTGCAGTCAATCTGCATCTTTCTCTTTTATTAGTGTAGATGGTAAAGCAAGAATTAGTCTTCCTCATGACCAATGTATCAAGTATGTCCACTTTACCTATAAATTCTCTCAGTCTTATTTTTTGTAAAGAAATGCAAACAATTTAAAATTAAATAAGAACACAATTTCCCATATGTAATTAATTATATGGCATACAATTTCAGATCAATAGATTAAATAACATTGTAGGAAGTGAATACTGGGTTTATTCTACAATGAATCTTATCATTATCTGACACTTTTATTCAAGGGTAATAAATAAGTCAAATAGTTTTTAAATATTTTGAGGTCCATGTACCATAATATGATGTATTTCCTAGATATTTTTATATGTGTATCCAGAAAATGCCAAAAAGCTGAGAATAAATACATATACAATATTCAATTATTTGTCAAAAAGAGGGAAAAAGGCAACAGGGTAGTTTAAAAACTCACAATTCTATTTTTATTCTTAAAAAATAACTATTTTAGAGAAAACACTTCTTTTAGAAATTAATATGCTCAATAATTTGTTAGATTATTGGTGTACATACCTATGAATATATTTATCACAATAACCAGAATCAAAGGGATATACATTCTTAAGATTCCTTAAAAACCTATTTTTAGACAGTATCAATATTTATATTATTTTCACATTTCCTAGGTTAATAATTGAACTATCTCATTCTAAAACATACAGTAACAAAACTTAGTGGACTATCTATGACTACCCAAACAGAAATTCAGGCTATTTAATTTATTTATACAAAATTTGATTTATTCTGATTCTATCAAGCAATTTTTCCAAGGGAAAAGTGAAATGTTAAGATATACACACCTTCACTTCTTTGACACTCTATTTTTAATAACTGGAATATATCATTGTGAGTGAAATCCAGGGAATCATTTGAATTGTGTTGCTATGTTCTTTGTCCTTTAAATGGTTCTGCTTTTGGTCACTCCTTAGGAAATATCCCTCAAAAACATATCTTTTTAGTGAAAAAGTGGTTTGAAGACTATAATCAGTTTTAAATTTTACTTACATTGTCTCTTCATTTCATAAATAATATAAATTATATGATTTCCATTGTGTGAAATGGAAACTCTGTTAAAAAGTAAAACATGAAAAGAACCACAGATGGAGGCAGAGATTCCTGAAGTGCTCCCCCACAGTCAGTGGAATGGAAAGCTGCCATATTTTAAATTCTGATTACACAACAGAAGGTCAAGGTAACTTCTGCTCCCACGACAGGTCTTACTAGATAAGAACGAAGAGCATCGAAAGCAGCCAAGCCTACGCCTCATGAAACGCCCAGTCTCATAGCAGGGTTTTCAGGTGATTGAAATTTAAAGCTTGACAACCTACACTTAGTCAATTTTCATTTTAAGATAACATAAATAATTAATTCTGAATACAGAGTAGCAACTGAGATGTGGGAAATAATGGAAAACCATTTACAATGCATAAAACGTTTTAGTGCCTATTGGGGTTTCTTAACTTGGGGTCTGTATTTCAATGGAAGTAATTTCCTTTGCAACCCTACTTGTGTACTTTATTTTACTTTAGGCATTTTATATATTTTTATTTTTATTGATTTTAAGGAAGGGAGAGGGAGAGAGAGACAGAAACATCAATGATGAGAGAGAATCACTGACCGACTCTCTCCTGCACATCCCCTACTAGGGATTGAGCCGGCAACCTGGCCATGTGTCCTTGACCAGAATCGAACTGGGACCTTTCAGTCCACAGGCTGATGCTCTATCCACTGAGCCAAACCGGCTAGGGCTTTCTTTATGCATTTTAAAACATTATTCAAAAAAAGGTGGCCATAGGTTTTACAAGATTGCCAAAGGTTTAGAACCACTCACATAAAAATTTAAATCTTTCTTAGGTAAATAATTGGTTATCTTTCAGAAAGTGATTTAATATATGTCATGGTTCTATCCTTTAAATAAATTGGTTATATTTTCTAATATATGTTTTAAATAGTTCACTTTTTATACATGTCATTTACCTGTATAGATTGCTGCTCTGCCCTATGAGTGGCTGGTATTCCAAAATGCACACATTTGGAGAGGACACAGCTGAATAGCCCTCTGCACACAGAGCTAACTCACACTGACTGTGTTGTAACAAGAGCCAGTAACTGTTACACCAGCTTTGAAAGCATATACTGGCACACGATGCTATTGAGATCAGGATTTCTAAAGAAAAAATAATTTTATAATCATCCAGTGAAACTGCCATTTTCAGTCATTTTTCCTCTCAGTATAGTTGCTCTTAAAAGATTAAAAAAAAAAATTCCA